CTCTTGCCGATCTAGGTGCCTCATTGTAATTCCAAGAAAAGCAGTATCTAAATTTACACAAAAGATTACCAAGGGTTTCTTTATAATCATGTTCAAGTAGGTTGCTTAGAGATATTGGTCTAGGTTCTTGAAATGTGCCAAAGTTAATTTCTTTTAAGGGAACTTGTACTTTAGCTTTATCATCCTCCATCTCTGCTGGCTTGATGAGAATCTCTTTACCATCCTTTGAGCTTGTTTATCACTTTATCCCGCACCAGGGTAAAAACTCGTTTCTTTGAATGATCAATCGTTGTGGGAAGACCCAAGTATCTGTCATGCTCATCTACTTCTTTGACTTCTATCCTCTTCTAGATTAAAGTCTGAATATGATGTGGTACATTTTGGTTAAAAGAGAGCTCTGACTTATCAAAATTAATTTGTTGACCTCAGGATTCTCATAGCAATTGAGAACATGAAGAAGTACCTTCGCTTTGCGGATTGATGCTTTGATGAAAAAGAGACTATCATCTACAAATAATAAATGTGAAATGGGAGAAGCATGTCTGTATATTTTCACTCTCCAAACTTTATTATTCCTCTTGGATTGACGAATAAGGCTTGATAGACCTTCAATAATAATAATAAATAAATAAAAGAGATATAGAGACAGTAAGTCTCTTTGTCGCAATCCTCTTGAAGAAGAGAAGGATGGAGCCGGTAGCCATTAACAATAACTGAATAAGAAACAAAAATTCATCTTATTATAATTTCTACCCAATCTTTATAAAATCCCAATTTAATCATAACAGCTTCCAAAAAAGATCATTCAACTCTGTCATGTGCCTTACTTATATCAAGTTTGAGAGCCATATTACCCGATCTCTCATTTTTCCTATTTTTCATGAAGTAAAAAACTTCAAAAGCAACAAGGGCATTATCGGTTATCATTCGTCCTGGAATAAAGACATTTTGGGATTTTTTAATGAAAGGGAGAATTGTTTTTAATCTATTAGTCAATGGATTTTGAAATAATCTTAAAAATAACACTCCATGAACTAATATGCCTAAACTGGGAGGGAGTTTCAAGTTTAGGGACTTTGGGAAGCAGAACAATGTGGGTTGAGACGTTGAGTTGATAGCTTTGGGACACGTTTTTATTTTATTTAGGACATTTAGGGCTGAATTAACAACATCATTACCAAAAATGTGCCAATATTTTTGAGAAAAAAAAAAAGAAGACAGGCATACTATCAGATCCTGGAGCTTTATTAGGATATATTTGGTGGAGAGCTTTCTTAATCCGTTATTGAGAGAAATCCCCTGTCAGCATGTTGTCTTGTCCCAAATCACTTTTGTTTATTGCATTGGTTACAACCTCCATGTTAACACGATGGATTAGATGAAGTGAAAAGTTTCTAAAAATGATATGTGATCATTCCCTGATGTCCTCCTCTTTGTTAATCCATTGCCCATTGGTATTTTTTGGCCCAAAAATACTATTCCTCTTTTTTCTCCTGTTGGCCATTTCATAAAAGAAGCATGTGTTTTTGTGATCATTCTTCAACCATTTAGTTTTCGATCGTTGAAACCACATTGTTTCTTTCCTTGTTAAAGCACATTTATTTCTGCTTCTCATAATTTCAGAGTCTTTTCGAAGGGACTCCATTTTCTGTTGTAGCTTTCTGAATTGATGATTGACGTTCCCAAAAGTTTGCTTATTTCATCATGACATATCCAACCCACATGCTGAAATTTTATCACTAATAGAAGTATGTTCTGAGTTGACAATGTGGTTATCCGTGGATGATTTAATTACCTCCTCACAATTTGAAGAACCTGTTCATATGGCCTCAAAATGAAAAGTACGGTTTGTGCCATTTGGTTGCAAATTAATCCTTTTTCTCCAAGATATTAGCAATGGAGCATGATCAGACCGTATCATTGAAACATGATTAATTAACTCTGGTCCAAAGGGCCAAAGTTTTCCAAGAATTCGAAATAAAGCATCTGTCCGGACATGCTTGAATTGTATACCTTGGTTAGCACGTTTATTAACCTGAGTAAATTTGTTTCCTTCAAACCCCTAGTTAGAAATTTCACGTGCAGAGACACAATCAAGAAAAAGCTTGCATCTGATGAAAAGCACGCATATTACCACCACTCTTCTCATGAAAAAACAAAATCTCATTCCAATCGTCAAACAATAATAACCAAGGCAAGTGAGAGCTAGGTAGGTTTTTTTTTTTTTTTTTTAATCTCTGCAGCTTCTAAGACTGATATCTGTTATGTATTTCAGGCCATCCATAAAACCTAGTAAATCTACAAACAAAATCACTCTGATTACGCCGAACTTCAAAAGTCCATATGATGGATGTAAAAGAACTACATATTGAGGCAGCAGCTACCATTGCACCACCTAACCAACATATTGAGGTACTTCTGATCATTCTCATTTTTTTGAGCGCAATATAATAAGGGGCAAAGCTACAATTTAGAGAAGGGGGCAGTTTCCCTTCTTAAGTTTTCGAACTTATCCTTTAGTCCTTATATTTTCTATATTTTCATATAAATCCAAATAGAAGTATTTCAGTTGCCCATTATAATTTTCATTTTTCTTGGAAATGAAAAACTTTGCATCTCTTGAGAAAAATTTTAAAACTTCACTACTGACTATAATTATATTACTTTCAAATATCCATTAAAATTGCTTAAGGTTTAATGATTGGGATGTCTCTTTGGAAACAATATTTGTCTTTGTAACTTTTTTTTTAAAGATATTCCAAACTTAAAAATTTAGATTAATTATTAATTATTCTATCGAGAACACAAAATAAAGATAATTAACAAAAAATTCTTTTTTTACAAATATAAAAATTTAGATTCAAAATTATTTTTTTAAACTATTAGAACTCTCAGCGTTCAAATTAATTTTTTAAAGTTGTATCTTTGCATTAGAGTCTTGGTTGCTTTTGAATCCTAACACCTAGAGAGAAGATATGAAATGACAAAGGACGTGATGTTTGTGTTGTTGGTGTGGAGAGATTAGAAGAAAGACTAGACAACCTGACCGACATAAATAGAGACACGAAAATCATGTGAAGGAAGGACGCGATGATATCCTATCCACTTTTTGCTAATATCCCTGATCTCCATTACAAGTCTACAATTTCGCACGGGCAATTACCATCACCTATCGTTTCCTCGACGCGGCTATTATTAGTTGGTGGAGGAAACGTGCAATTCCAGTTATGCTTTTTCTACTTTTAATTTGCGAAAAAGAGCAAACGACCGGTGGGGTGGTGCCCCACTTTTGGTCTTATTGTTTACCTGCAAGTTGGCACAACATTTAACGCCGTTATTTTAAGCGCCGTCTAATAAAATAAATTTGAGATGCTCTCCTATGAAGACTCAGGAGAGGCATAAGCATTCACGCGGAAAAACTGCGGAAGAGATTGTTTGGGAAGAGGAATGGCTTTGCACCTCTTGAGAAAGACCCTGTCCACAACCGAGTACAACAAATATGTTTTGGGTGTGAACGAAGTTCCATTACCTGTTTTATCTGTTCATCCTCCAACAGTTAGTCATGGTATTATCATTGTGGATTTAAATTTAAGAAATGAGTGTGAAAAAGAAGAAAAGAATTGTTCATTTATGCACTCAATTATTAAAAGATTTAATCTTGATACATAAAAGGTATTTCAATCATTTTTAACTATTAAAATAGAAAGAAAAAAACAAATATGTAAAGAGAAAAATTATTCTTAATATCAATTAATCAATTAAATTTCTCATTAAATATCTATTGTAATTTTAAGTCTCAGACAAATTTTAATATCATCTCTTTATTTTATATGATTTATTTATTCATCTTTTTTTGTTTTAATATGTATCAATTTGTTTAACATTATGAGAACTGATCAGATATGTCAGACACTTACAAATTACATAATAAATATTACATAAACATTATGAAACATATTAACCGATTTGTAGACACTTACAAGTGCTGGTAACATTTTTTTTTTTTTTTTGTCATCTAAATATGCTATTAACATTTCACTTTGCAAGATTATTTGTGTTTCTTTCAAAAGAAAATATTCTATTGTTTACCCGCATTCAATTTCAAAGATATGTATATAGTTTTGCAAGATACATTAATGAAATCAATTACAATTATAATTATAAAATATAATAATTATCATTATAGATAAAGATAAGATAAGATAATCAAAATAAATAAAATAAGAAAGACAAAACGAAAAAATGAACATATATTTTATATAAATCTTCAATTCAGTTTAGAATCTTTTCACTTCTTAAATAAATAAAAATAAGACTAAATTATAAATTAATCTCTCTTGTTTAAAGAAATAAATTAATTAATCTCTCTTGTTTAAAGAAATAAATTAATTAATCTTAATTATTTTAAAAATTAATTATTTAATTTTTCATGTTTTAACTTTATTAATAATTCATAATTTTCATCCATTTTTCATTAAATGAATGATGAGCTTTAACCCAAAGGACGAGTTCTGAAGGAGAAATATGGTTACAGCAAGAGCCAAACACCAACACAGGGAAAGCGGAGGCAATTCCGTAAATAAAAATGAAAAACGTGAGCAATATGATAATGTAAAAAAGGCAAGTAGGGAGTAGGAGGGAACGCAAAGACCGCCGCTTAAAAAATGCAAAGAAAACGTGTTTGAAATACAGCAATAAATAATAAATAAAACAAGAAGACAAACATTAATGGTAGCAATAAAGTAAAGGAATTGAACGGTCTGCGAAACTGCAAGGAAAGAAGCCTAAAAAGCCCATATATTCCTCGTGCTTCTTTTAATTCCACCCCACCCCAACCCCCATAAAGATAGCCTCCCACCCCCACCCTTTCTCTTTCTTGTGACACAAATCCAAATTGCAAAGGAATGCAAGCATAGCAAGCAATATAACATATACTTCTTCACACATACATACATAGATTAATTCTGTTGTGTTACTGAGTTTCGGAAAATTTCAAGAAGATGTCTGGCTCGACCGAATTTGTTGAGAAGATGGGAAAGTTGTCGGAGAAGCCGAGCTTCTCGCAAACGTGTAGCTTGTTGAGTCAATACCTGAAGGAAACAGGTAGTTTTGGAGATCTTAGTCTTGGTATGACATGCAACATTGAATCAACCCCAAATGATATCGAAAACCGAAACAAAAACGGTATTCTCTTCTTTCTCTCTCTGTTTTTCTTCTGTTTTAACAATTTTTTCTCTGTTTACTTTTTTTTTCAATAAAAAAAAAGTGAATGATTACAGTTAGGGTCATCTTCCAGATTTTTGGACCTTTTCCTCTTTTTTTGGAATAAAACTTGTTGGTTACATTGACGAATGCCTTGCTGAGTTATTTTGTGGTTGAAGGAGATCTTTTGTAGGCAGTAATTAAGGATTTTAGATCTGCAAATAACTTTGACCACTTTAGCAAATTGCAATGTTGATTTTGTTAAATCTCTTTTTTGACTTTAGATCCAAAAAAATCTCAGATTTAATTTGTTAGGTTCCTGTTAATCATGGGTTCAACAGTCAGAGAACGTGCCCCTTTTTTCCGCTCCTCCAATACTCCAATTCAGTTTTCTTTGTGCATGTGCGTTTAAACTGTTCAAAATGATAAAATTCTGTTGAGATTATCTCTGTTCGGTTAGAAAAAATCTCGGTCACAGATTTCTCTACTACCTCGTTATAAATGGCCACTAGTACTGCTTGCTTTTGCATGTCTTTGTCTCTGTCTTTGTAACACAAATTGAAGCCAATACAAGAAACTATAAGATTCAGAAACAAAACAAAGAGGAGAAGATCTGATGTATAGTATGTTGTATCATAATGTTGCAGGTCCGTCTGACAGGTTGCGTCATTCTGCGACAACCATGAATTTGTTTCCAGTGAGTGAGAAACCAGGTCATGTTTCATCCCACAACATGGGGACTCCTCGGAATTTTAGATCGATGGATTTGTTCCCTCAACAAGCTGGATTTGCTCCCAAGGAAGGTGCCCAAAAGAAGCTTGACCCAAGGTGTGTGGATTTACTGCTCTCTCTTTGCTATTGATTGGCATGATTGTAAAATTCCTCTTTTTAACATGTAAAAATTGGAGAATCGGACAGACAAATGATCTAAACCAATTTTTTTTTTTTTTTTTTTTGGGATGTGTTGGTGATTATACTGCGCTTGGAAGTTTACATCTATAAATAATCAAGAACTCATTATTTCTACTTGGAATTTAGGTTTTACTGATTAATATTTTTCATTTGCCTTGTGCAGTGTTAACAAGTATGCCACTGCAGAGCCCCAAACTGCGCAAATGACTATATTCTATGCTGGACAAGTTATTGTGTTGAACAATTTTCCAGCTGACAAGGCTAAGGAAGTGATGCTCTTAGCTAGCAAGGGAAGCTCCCAGATCCAGAATGCCTTTCCTTCAACTATTCCAGCAAGTAGTCATCCCGTCCTCGCGCCTAATATTTCTAGAACTCCAATGGAGTCCAACGGTTCAATTCCATCTCGCCCGAGTGCTCTTCCAAATTTTGGCAATAACTTAATTCAAGAGCGCTTGCAACCTGCCCCTCAACCTATATTTAATGGTAACTTTTTTTGCCTGATTTCTTTATTCGAATGGATTACAGATTAGGGGGTGACTGGATTAGATTGTTTCCTTCTCGGTGTTTCTAATGAAGGGTTTTTCTCTTGAACTTCAGATCTGCCAATTGCAAGAAGAGCTTCCCTCCACCGGTTTTTGGAGAAGAGAAAAGACAGGTAGGAAATTATGTCAAAGAAAATGAAAATCATTTGCCATTTGCAATTTGCTTGTGTTTAGCTGTGGATATGTACAAAGATTTATCACGATTTTTCTAGATCAAGAGTCTCATTCGAATCATGTTGATTGCTGTAACTAAAAAAGGTGGAAATGTATGACATAGACGATGATGATTATATGATCATTTGATTGATAGTGTTATTTACTTGTGGCATTCTTTCAGGATCATTGCAAAGGCTCCATATCAAATAAATCCTCTGGCAACTACTTCTAAGCCAGTTGAAAGCGAGACGTGGCTTGGCTTGGCTGCTCAATCTACTCACTAGCCCATTGCTAATTATATTCATTTTAGGCATTACAATTAGGCCATGCTAGGCTGCTACCTTATTTTTATTTATTTATTTATTTATTTTGGTGGGTTGAAGCCTGCTTTTTTCCTTTTGTTTTAGCTCTCGTATCTGGTTGCTTTTAGCTTAGGCTTTAACGAGGCTATTTTAGATCATCTAACTCTATCAATCTCACTATTGGTTCATGTAATTAAGCTCTCTTATTTGTGGATGATTTTTTTTATATGAAATTTTCATTTGCAATTGTCAATTATCATGTCCTGTTTGGTGGAAGATTTTGAAATGGTATGAAACAAAATACCTTGAATATGGCTGTCGTGGCATGTAAATAATGATTTGCTTGATCAGACAACAGGTTTTATATGCATTTCTTGGAAGGGGAAGATCAGCTTATTTGCTATATTGTCATTGTTGACGGTATGGGTTTCTTACGCTGATGTAAAATGGGAAGAGATATTATCTATCTAATTAGTCAAAATCAACACACCCATAACAATTGCGAATCTGCTTCAAGCAAGGGAGGCACTTCTAAAATCTTCGCACCTTTTTTTTTCTTCTTTTCATTTCTGCCGGTCAATTGTTATTGAAAGCAAGCAGCGACGGTGGGTGATATTTTTGAGACAATTCTTTTTTTAGTAGTAGCTAAAACATCAAAGGTTCTATGACTTGGTCATATGCCCATGCAATGACCAATTCGGCAATCATGTTTTATATGTTCTTTGTATTTTCCTCCTAATATCTCACTTTATAATAAAATCACGCGTATTTGAAACTTCAACGCGGAATAGCCTCAAATATAATAATTGAATGGCAGGTTTTAATTTATTTTATCATATAGTCCACAAACATTCACAATCAGAAGTCAAATCAGAATTTAGACGAAAGGTGAGGCGTTCTGTGTGAACCTTCTCGAGACCGATAAGTCCAACTAAAATAACCCTTTCATATTGTCACATTGTTCATGTCTCCCTACATTGGTTTCGTACATAAAATTAAATTATTTAAAAAGCAAAATACAAGGGCAGACATGTGGGGTGGTTGTGGAGGAAAAGCTATAATACTATAATATTTTGTCATTGGCATCCCATATTCACATGCAATGTTGCAAAGGGTGAGGGGTCGACTTCATTTAATCTTATTCCATACGAATATTTTATACTATAGATTTAGTCACGCGTTTGCTTCCTCCTTTCCGATCACGAAAAAGGGAATCCACATTTTTGCTTTGTCCATGTCTACAAGCCACTTATTTTATGCCCACGAATTAGGTGTGGGATGGTCCTCGATTTATTTTATTGTTATTGGCTAGTTATTATATTTATTGACCACGTTGTTTGACCCATACTACTTGTGCCAGAAGAAAATTCTATTAGATGTCGATTGATTACAAAAAAAAAAAAAAAAAAAAAAAAAGAAGAAAGATATATGGAATAAAAATGTAGAAATCAAAATGATATTTATATTCTTATACTGTGTTTGGAATACTAATGAAAAATTAGAATGCAATTTAAATTTTTTAATATTTAATTTTTTTATACAAATAAAGATAATGATTAAAAAATAATTTTATCAAATTACAATGATTGTAAAAATAATACAAGTGATGGTGGTGATGGTGGTGGTGGTTGTAATAAAAGTAGTTAATAGACAATAAATAAATAAAATTTATTATTATTTAAATAAATTTTTTTTTCATATTTTATTTTTATTCTCATATTTTAAATGAGAATAAAGTTGAATGTAATTTTATTCTCATCTTCACTATTTATTTATATTCAAATTTTTTTTACTATTTATTCATATTCATATTTTATTTTTTTTAATCAAACAATTATAACGTGAGAATAAAATTTTTATTTTTATTTTTATTAATTTATTTTTAATTATCAAACAGCACCTAATTTGCAGTGATAATCGTATCCTATAATCAAATGTCAAAATTTGCAACATAAGGGAAATTGCAATGGTTACATGGAGTAGTTCCATGGAGCTTTTACAAATAATAATAATAATAATAATAATAAAACCCCCTTTTTTCCTGACGAATGGGATGTTTCCAACAACATTATCGGAACCAATCTGGTTCGTGAACGGGCAGGAGTGCTAGTTCATTAATTAATCTACTAGTTCACCGGTCAGTACACGAGTCCCTTCGAAGTTACACAAGGTATATGTATGTATTCTTTGTTTTTTAAACAAATGGTCCAACCAACCTCGTGGTTGAAGTTTTTTTTTAAAAAATTTTTGAATGTTAAGTATTCGAATTTCATGAAAAACATCCGTTTTTTTTTTATCATTTTCAAGAGCAAAAGGAACATCTTGTTATCTATGTTTTTCGCTTGTTGTTTATCGAGTTCGAAATATATATATATATATAAGGTACACTTTTTGTGTATACATATATGTATTTGTTTTTTTTTTTAAAAAAAAAACAAGTGGTCGGACCGAGTGTTTGAAGTCCGTTTTTAATTTTTTGAATGTTAAGTGTTCTAATCTCACGAAAAACATCCATTGTTATCCATTTTCAAGAGCAAAAGGAATTTTTTTTCTACCTACATTTTTAACTTTTTGTTTACGGAATTTTACTTTCATCGAATAATAATAATAATAGTAAGAGTTCGTTTGGTTTTGGTATACAATTGATTTCTTTCAAACAAAACGACTAACACATAATAGGGTCTTTGATCTAAAGCTATTTTGCTTAAAAGAAAAGCTTTTAAAAACATAAATGAATGTTTGAATAAAAAAAAACTTCTTGCATTGCTTAATTCTCTCATTTGCATATGATAAGCAAAATTCGGCACGAGGCTCTCTCGTAATTTTGATAGCAAAACAAGAAGATATATTTTCATACTAGCAAATCGATCGTACAACCTAGCGAGCATTTCGTATTTTGAGAGCTTATTACAATACATTTGTTATGAATAACACACTAGCTATCACATATGATTAATAAACAATATAGGAGATATCATATATCATAAATCTTGCAATACTCCAAATAGTTTCTTGTATTTAACATCTTATTATGCCAAATTCCTCAATCCATGTATAGTATGATTTCATATTGTATAATTATAATCACATTCACATCACTCTCAAGTGATGCTTCTTTTAAGTGACATGATTGAACGACCAATGAATATACTCGAACACATCTTTCTTTCTCACTTGAAATTCTTAATTGAGAACTTGACTCGTTTTTCTAAACCAATTCTATAGATTGAATCATACATAATCTTAAGTAACTAGCTAAGATAGCAAACACCAAGCTTCAATTTTGAATAGCAATAAAAAATGATAAGGGTATTACTTAAAGGATATTATTATTCTTCTAAAGATCTCACACAGTAGAAAAACAGAGATTTATTCTCCTACAACAATTTGTGATTGTATTAGCACACGTGATATGAATCATGTATTATAATATTTCTAATTGTCACATCTTATATACACTATATAGATATTAGTTCGATCATCAAACACAAACGACTAACTTAAGTTCTTAAGATATTCTCTTTCAACGAGTATTATCATCGAGTTCTTAAATCTATCTCTTACATGTTATTTGGATTGAGCTTTTTAAATCAACTGTAAAATGTACATTGATTTACAATCTCATCCTAATTTTACATTATTGCAAAACTTTCTTAATCTTATCTTCTTTCTACTCGCATCCAACAACGTCATAAGCGATTATTCGTATGAGAGAGTCAATCTAAACTTGTGTGACTTTTAAGGTTGAGCTTTATTATAGTAACATGTAGGTAATGCATATATAAGAAATATGAAGGAACATCAAATTGCATTCATTAAAAAAAAAGTAGTAAAACATATAAGCTTAACTATTTATTATTATAGCAAAGCTACAATCTACATATTTAAGAGATTTAACATGTCCATGATACATGTCTCTTGGTATGGGTTTTATTAGAGGATTTGCTATCATTTGATGTATAGATATATACTATATTGACATTTTTCTTTTTTCAATAATGTGTCTAACATTGTTATACTTGGTGTCAATATATTTTGTTTTACTATGGTACTTAGGATTTTTGGTATAAACGATAGTCTGTCGGGTTGTCAAAATAGAATATAACAAGCCCGAACTATCACCATTAACACTTAAGTCCTAAAGAAATGTCACTACTTTTTGTACAGTAGTTGAACATGCTATAAATTTAACCGTCATAGTAGACAAAATTGTGCATGTTTGTTTCTTACTACTCTAAGATATATCATTATCATTGAGTAGAAAAGCATAGCTGAAGTGAATTTGCATTCATTAAGGTCTCGTTCCTCAATCATCATCTTAGTACCCGATCGATTTAAGTTTTTCTTTTGATAACATATAAAATAATCTATAGTGTCTTTAAGATACTTAGGATCTTTTTTTATAGCCTTTGAATGCTTTCAACTAGGATTTGGCTGAAATCGACTAACCAAACCAATGAAAAAATATATATCCGAGTAAATAAACATCATTGCATACGTAAAACTTCCAACTATACTTGAATATGACACTTTAGACATCTTTTTTTATTGTGGAGTTTTAAGACATATTTCATGACTTAAAACATCATCTTTTGGCACAAAAGTGCCTACGGACTTACAATTTCCCATATGAAAGCGTTCTATAACTTTTTTGATATAATCTTGTGACAGAGCTGAAAAGTTCTTCAAATGATCTTTAAGGATCTTGCTCTCAAAATATAGTTTGCCTCCCCCATGTCTTTCATGTCATAATCCATGGATAACCATGCCTTGATGGGCATGAATTTTTTTTCACTCCCGACTATCAAAATATCATCAACATATAGAGATAGAATTGCAAACTTCTCTTCAATTATTTTAACATAAACAAAAATTATTTTAAAATCATAAGTCATTATTTCCTTATGAAAATGTATTATTTTTAGATGATTGTTTCATATCATAAATAGATTTTTAGAGTTTGCAAACTTTGCGTTCTTAGCTTTCGGTAATGAAACATACGAGTACGTTCCATATAGATTTCTTCCTCTAACTCTCCATTAAGGAAAGTTGTTTTCATATTCATTTGATGAAATTTTAAGTCTAAATATACTACAATAGATAAAATTAATCTCATTGAGGAAAACCTATAAATAGAGAAAAAGGTTTCCTTATAGTCTATACTTTCTTGTTGGGTCTAACCTTTAGCCATAAGACGAGCTTTATATTGTTCAAGTCGATCTATCTATCTTTCATTTTATTTTGAGAATCCGTCTATTCCTAATTATTTTATGACCTAATAGAAGATCAACTAGACTCCATACCCGGTTCAATTTCATGGATTTTACTTTTTCTTCTAATGCAACTTTTTATTTATATTTGGCGAGGACATGTTATTGTATTTTTCATTATTCTAGGCTTTCATCATCTTGTGGAGTTACAATGTAAGCATCATTCTCAATTTTAAATCATGTTTAGGAATTCTTGATTGGTTGCTCCTACATAAATAAGAATCACCACAAACACCAATTGAGGCTTCATTCTCAATTTTCAATCATTTTTTAAGAATTCTCGGTCGATTAATCCTATATAAATGAGGTTCATGACTAATACCATTAGAAATTACATGATTTTCAGTCCTCAAACTTAATTGAGATAATGGTGGTGTGTTATCAAAGCTCCCACTAAAAAGAAGAGTCTCGCATAACTAGTTATGCTTCGACCTCTAGTCAACTTACAAACATTTCATTATCTTCTTCTATCTCAAAAAGATGAAGATTGTTTTTTAGCTATCTCATTCTTATTAGGAAAGAAATCTTCCATAAAAGTAACATTTCAAGATTTGATTTCAATGACTTGTCTACTAGATTCCTCACTAGTGATAACATATAGCTTTGAGTGTTTAAAGTATGTTACGAAGATACAATTCTTTCCTCTAGGCCATAATTTTTCATACTTATGGAAAGTATCGTGAACATATGCAACGAGACCCTTAGAGGTGTAAATGATACAAATCAAGTTTATAGCCTATCCATAACTTATAAGATGTAGATGCTACTGATTTAGAAAACACATGATTAAGTATATAAGCTATAATCATTAGTGCATCTCCCTAAAACTCGAATCAAAAGATTTACATGTACCATAATAGATCTAACCATATCTAATAATGTACAATTCACACTATCTACTACTCTATTTTTTTACGAGTGTTTTAGGAATCATAAGTTATATAGTTATTCTTTTTTCATTACAAAAAATCTTAAATTGATCTAATAGATACACACGAGTCTCTATCAGTTGGATATTAATAAGAAGGGTTAATGGGTTAGTCCATACGAGTTTAGGAGAGAGTAATTACAATACTGGAACTAAGACAGGTTAAGATCGTGTAATAGTATGCTAGTAAGGGGGTTTAGGTAAGGATAATGAGAGTGGTGGTTCGGGTAATGTAGGGAGTGGTTAGTTCTACTAAAGGTAATGTAGATAATAGTGGTTCGGTTGAGGGAAATATGGGAGGTGGTGGTCATAGTAAGGGCAATCCGATGAGTGGTTGTTTTAATGAGGGCAATATGGGTAGTGGTGGTGTTGTTGAGGGCAATATGGGTAATTGTGGTTTTGTTATGGGCAATGTGGGTAGTGGTGACGCTATTGAGGGAAATACAAGAAATGGTGGTAGTGCTTAGGGCAATGTGGGTAGTGATAGTGAAAACATAAGGATAAATGAAAAAAGATGTTCAAAAGGCGAGTATCGAGTTGATCTTAATTATTTAAATGATGATAATGATAAAAATACAAAGAGATAAAAAAAAAAAAGCAAGCGAGGTTTTACAAGGAATAGTGGTGGTAGAAAGGAAGTTAAACAAGGTCAAAATAGTGATTTAAAAGGGAATACATCTACTACTTATTCAAATGAGGGTGAATAAAGAAAAAAAAAGATGATGAGTGTAGTACTATTCATGTAGAAAAAGAAAACATAAAATGGCGAGAAAAGATTAACGAGAAGATAAAAAAGAAAAAAAAAGAAGAGGAAAAATAAAGATGTGGTTGATGATGATGATGAGTATGTTATCAATATAAAGGGCAATGATTACAAATCCGATGATAATTTTAGTTATATAAGTATAAATAAGAAGAGTGATGTAGAACTTACTAGGAGAGTAAAATAAAAAAAAACAATTACTTCAATCCTAATGATGAGATAGCCTTCTTTTAGTTAGGAATGATTTTTCCAAACAAGTGAACTTTTAGAAATGAAGTTATAAAACATAGTATAATAGAGTGTGGAAACCTAAAATTTGAGAAGAGTGATCCAAATAGATGTAAGGTTATATGTCTACATGATAATTGTAATTAGGGGTTTTTATGTTCTCCCTATTTGGATACTAGAAATTAGGTTGTGAAAACTTATAATAATGAGCACACATACATTAAAGCCTTACACAATAGGTCTGGTCGGTTATAAGGTTATTGTTGAGCGCTTTAAAAAAGAGACATAAGTTTCACAAAAATGTATTCTTCTAAATTGGTGGATGAAACTTTGAAAGAGTTGTACTATACTTGTGAGTCTTTCTAAATACAAGAATTTAGTTTGAGATTGTTGCAAAGGATGTTCTTTAGTGAAGTTGATGATGAATTTTAAAGATTGAAGGATTATACTTGCAGAGATTAGAAAAACAAATAAAAGTGGTGCTATTGTGATAGAAACGGATAATGATAGATATTTCAAAACAATATACATTTTTTTTGATGTACTAGTTAGGGGGTTTAAGCATGAATGTAGAAAAAGTTGTTGGGTTTGATAAGTGTTCCCTAAAAGGTCTTTTTAAAGGAAAGGTTTTATTTGTTGTGGGTTGGGATGCTAATAATCAAATGTTTTCTATTACTTGAGTTATTATAAAATGAGAGAGTACAAAAACTTAAAAGTTCTTTTAGTTAATGGCTGATTAGGAAATTAGCATGGGAACTAGACAAGGATATACGTTTATTTATGATAGTCTTAAAGTGTCAATATTTTTTTTTTTAACATTAAATTGTTTGTTTAATGATGTTGGTTTCATTATGTTTTTTTCTTTTAACTTTCAATTGTTTTTTTTTTTTTTTTTTACTTTTAATTGTTTGTTTAATGATTTTTTTTGGGTTGTTGGTCTTGTAGGGTCTTATTAGAGCAATTCATGAGCTAATGTCATATGTTGAGCAAAGAAGGAGTGTAAGGTAAATTTTTAGAAAGTAGAGGAAAACCAACAACGGTAATGTTCTTCATAAGTAGTTTAATTTGGGCAAACTATAGAGCAAACACACCAAAAAACTTTGAATAATAGTTAAAGAAACTTAGTGGCGTTATTAGTGTAAGTGCGATAGATCTAACTCTGTTTGGATGGTTTGATTTATTATATTATTGCATTTTCAAATATTAATAAAGAGCTCTTTCTATTAATTCTTATTATTTATATTTTGGTAGACATAGATAAAAGTCTATATGATATGTATTGCATTAATGATCGATTACTAGATATGAGACAAATATCAATACATTCAAATGATATCATTAAATATTTCAAGTCATAATATTATCAAGATTGACATTGATAATATACGGTAAGACTCAATAACTATTATTACATTCCTAGTATAGACTAAGAATATTATTTTCATTTCTTGTTTGGACCAAGATATCTTTCATTTTATTTAAGAATAATATTTAATCTTTTTAAAGATGAATTTTTAATGAAAATGCTTTTATTAACAATAGTTTGTATGTTTTGAACATAAATAAACCGTATATATATATATATATATATAACATAAATACCAAAATAATCAAATGATCTAAATTAAACATATATGTGATATTGTTAACTTATCCATATAAACAATAATTGAATATCCAAACTACATTAAAAAAAAAGATATCTAGAATCATTTAATTGTGAACCTTATGATATCCGCGAATCTTGTCTACTTGATAAAATGAAAAAAATCTCCTTTTAGTTGAAAAGGAGAATGAATTGCTGATTTGTTAGGCTTTATACATAGTGATGTCCCATATCCACCAAAATAATAGAAGGACATGAATACTTTATAACGTTTGCTGATAATAGATCACACTTTGATTATGTATATCTAATGAGACACAAATCGAAGCATTTGAAAAGTTCAAAAAAATTAGATTTGAAGTTGAGAAACAAACTAGAAAAAGTATTAAGGCACTCGATTTGATCAAGGCAATAAATGCTTAAGTAGTAAATTTTTAGATTACCTAAAATAGAATGAGATTCTCTCTTAATATATCCTACCTGGAACATCACAAATGAATGGTGTATTCAAAAGAAGAAATAAGACGTCTGGTTCGATCCATGATGAGTCGTATTAATATCCCCATTTTATTTTAGGGATATGCACTAATTATTATAAGATTTATTTTGAATAGGGTTTAGATAAAGTCTATTAATTAAAATCTATATAAGATATGGAGAGGAAAGAAAGAAAAAAATTTCTTTTCTTAAGATTTGAGACTTGTGAAGCCTATGTCAAACATTTAGACAAAAACAAACTAGAGCTTAAATCAACAAAGTGTAAATTTATGATATATCCAAAAAAATAAAAAAAAATAAATGAATATTATTTTTACTAACCACAAGAACAAAAGATGTTCATAGTTAGGTATGTTGTATTTCTTAAGAATGAATTTATAGATATTAAAATAAGTGGGAGGAAAGTTGAACTTGATGAGATTCAGAAGACTCACAAATTGACATTTCAGTCATGGAATCCCAAATAAATAGATTATAAATTGTTGTAACTATCCCACAACTAGATATAAACAAACTTCATAGGTCTAAAAGGATTCATCAAAAGCCAAAAAGATATGATCTTCTTATCTTTACATATGGTGATGTGTATCCTACAAATGATGATGAACCTACCTATGAATAAGTAATGTTAGATGTTGACTCCAAGATATGAAAAATGGATGTCAAAACTATTTTCCTTAATAAAAATTTGGTGATGTATATCTTAAGAATGAATTTATAGATGTTAAAATAAGTGAGAGGAAAGTTGAACTTGATGAGATTCAAGAAGACTCACAAATTGACATTTCATTCGTGGAATCCCAAATAAATAGATTATAAATTGTTGTAACTATCCCACAACTAGATATAAACGAACTTCATAGGTCTAAAAGGATTCATCAAAAGCCAAAAAGATATGATCTTCTTCTCTTTACATATGGTGATGTGTATCCTACAAATGATAATGAACCTACCTATGAATAAGTAATGTTAGACATCGACTCCAAGATATGAAAAATGGATGTCAAAACTATTTTCCTTAATAAAAATTTGGTGATGTGTATCTTAAGAATGAATTTATAGATGTTAAAATAAGTGGGAGGAAAGTTAAACTTGATGAGATTCAAGAAGACTCACAAATTGACATTTCGGTCGTGGAATCCCAAATAAATAGATTATAAATTATTGTAACTATCCCACAACTAGATACAAACGAACTTCATAGGTCTAAAAGGATTCATCAAGAGCCAAAAAGATATGATCTTCTTGTCTTTACATATGATGATGTAATACATATGGTGAAGTGTATCAAGAACCTAATACATATGGTGATATGTATCTTAAGAATGAATTTATAGATGTTAAAATAAGTAGGAGGAAAGTTGAACTTGATGAGATTCAAGAAGACTCATAAATTGACATTTCGATCGTGGAATCCCAATAAATAGATTATAAATTGTTGTAACTATCCCACAACTAGATACAAACGAAATTCATAGGTCTAAAAAGATTCATCAAGAGCCAAAAAGATATGATCTTCTTGTCTTTACATATGGTGATGTGTATCCTACAAAAGATGATGAACCTAATACCTATGAACAAGTAATGTTAGACATTGACTCCAATATATGGAAAGTGGATGTCAAAATTGTTTTCCTTAATAAAAATTTGAATGACGATATGTACATGATATAACTTGATATTTTTGTCACCAAGTATATACAAATAAGATTTACAAAATTACAAATGTCTATTTTATGATCTTGAGTATGCATCTAGAAGTTAGAATCAACTTTTTGATAAATGATCAAAATGTTTGATAACAAACTACTTTTTGGCTATAAAATTATCATGTTACAATTTATAAAAGTTTGGGCATTCAAGAATTTCTCCATAGAGATGGAAGGACGAGTCTATATTTTAGAAATAAAGATCTATAGAGATAGATCACATAGAATGTTAGGGCTCTAACGAAGAACATACATTAACAAAGTACTAAAAGGTTTAGTATGAAAGAATCAAATAAAGGATTTCTTCTAATATCACATGGCTTGATGGTCGACAATAATAGAGCCATAGTGTGAGTTAAAAAACCAAAGTCTCATCAACGGTCCAAGCATGTACTACGACGTTACCACTCGATTAGAGAGATTGTCAATCGTGGTGATATGAGGATAGAAAAAGTCTACACTAATGATAACACAACGGACCTCTTGAATAAGTTTTTTTCATAACATAAACATGAAAATCTTGTTCAATTATCAAACATAAGAAACGTTGTTAGTTAGCTATAGTATAAGTAGAAGATTGTTAGTGTAGGTGCACTTGATCTAACCTCGTTTGGACGATTTGATTTATTGTATTATTGTATTTTCAAATACTAATAAAGAATT